GTGAATTTCGGATGGAACTGAAAGAACACAAAAATATTTTGTTACAATAAGTCAGCAATCTTATATTCAGAGAACAATAGAAGTTCAACAAAGTCTAAATTTATAGACATCAAATTCCTAGTTGTTAAAAAAGAAGTTCAGAGTGGTCAAGTTGCTACAGAACATATTGGGACAATCTCCATGATAGCAGATCCATTTATTAAAGTACTACCGTCCACGGTCTTTTATGAGCACACTGCTCACATGGATATAGTACATTTTGATGATATGCTAGTTTAGTAGGAGTTCGTAATTTTGGTTGTGTACGTTCAAGTTTACTTCAATTATAAAGTATTCAATTCGGTTTTCACTCTAATTAAAGTTTTTTTTTATCTCATTAAAATATAAGGTATTAGAGAATAAAGTATGACCAATTGGAAATAGACATGTTTAAATCACATTACATGTAATTTTCATGCTATACATCCATACTTGATCTATGTCATTTGATTGTGTTGATATATATGATCGTTGATGGATTTAGTCATAACATTTGTAACGAAGACCACTTTGATCCTATATTAACATAAATAATGGACGAAATTCTTCGGAGATGCCTTTTGGTTATGGCAGCGAAAGTATTGAGCTCATAAGGTTATACACATTTATAAGGAAACATATATGTGGCCCAAGTGGGAGATTTTTAAGAAATTATTAATTTACCACATGGGCCGACATATGTAATTAATTGTATGTAAATAATATTTTAACGTTAAGTCCAAAATTATAGCGATATAATAAACAGTTAAGTAATTGGGTTAGAGCATCTAAATAAAGTTTATGCAGAATTATATTTGTAGATATCAGATTCCTTTATAATTATATTTCATGATGGGCAGAATACATAATGGAAACTATATATAGGATTATGGTCCCAATTCACATGCAACTTCTCATTCTTCATGTCATTCCATCAACATAAGGGAAAGCATATTGAAGATGAAGATCCAAAACCCAGATAAAGGAATTCAAGAATCAAAAAGAAGAATTCAAGAATCCATTATTATGAATCAAGATTAAAGATCCAGGAGGCAAGATTCAAAGATTATAATTCAATACTCATTATTCGAGATACAAATCAATGGATTAAGGTATGTTCACCATTAGCAAATTTTCTTGGTGATTTGACATGAAGATCTTGGCAATCATGTAAAGTTTTATGAAGTTTAAAATTCATAAATATCCAACAGATCCTGAACTTCAAATCATGTAGAAAAGAAGTGTGTTGTCATTTGTTATCCTCAATGGTGTCATGTTACCACCTGAGTTATGATCAATTTTCAAGCAAGGATACCTTTTATCAACTTTCATCTCGATGGATCCCATCTCAATAAGATCCACATAATTGCATCTGGGTAATAGAAGTCCAAATGTCATTCTATTGCTTTTTATGAATACACTGACAGAGTTGTGATTCATTAAATACGAAAGAATAAAAATCAAATAAAAGATCTCTCATATGAATCAAGAAGTGAAATTAGATTAAGAAATCAATTATGAGAATATTCTAATATGCATTATGAAATGTAAAAATTGATATAGTCCGGATAGGTCTATTTTGCTAAAGCTAGAAACCATCATACTATCATATTAACAAGCAAATAGATGTTAATCTCTTCTGTAATATTAGTTAGCGCAATTTTTGTTCAGGAAGCCAAAAGGGAGGGTGCACATCAGTGGAGACATGAATATAGTGTAATGTGGAAAAAAAAATTAATAATCACGAAATGAGTATGTAACCTTGATTTATAGTTCACAAAATACAAGTTTCTTTTACAGAGATGTGTATGATGTTTGTGTTGCCACGAACCAGTAAAATGAAAAATATAATAGCATTTTGGTAATTTCATTTGTACAACTCAGAATTAAGATGATTTCCGAATCAGCAGCCATGTGTTTTTAGCAATAGAAAGATAAGATTACATTATCAAAGCATGTTCTGCAATCTAGCGAATCAAGTTTCATGACAAATTACATATAAATCTCGAATATGAATCCTCAACGAGAAATGAAAAACACATAAGATCAGGATAATTACTGCAATCCAAGTATATTTAACCCCGATTTGGGATCATTAAAAATATATTTTCCTTCAAATATATTTTAGAATAATAATTTTTTGAAAAATATAAGGTTAAAAAAATAATATATATATATATATTTGAAATTACATATGATATTATTTTATTGTGAAATGTATGATTGAAAATAAAAAAGAGAAAATGCATTCCCCCCCCCCCCCCCGCAAAAAAA